TTGTTTTTTTGGGCTTATGTTTGTTGGTTTTGCCTCTGCATAAACAGGGGATCGATTTAATCGCAGGAGGTAAGAGCAAGAAGACCAAGAGGACAGCTCCAAAATCCGATGATATTTACCTCAAACTCCTCGTCAAGGTCTCTCCTTTATCCCCACAAAAATGCAATCTTTTAATTTCGTTCTTTGAATAAATATGCTGATTTTTTTCGTTTTGGGGTTGTAGCTTTATCGTTTCCTTGTAAGAAGAACCGGGAGCAAATTCAATGCCGTGATATTGAAACGATTGTTCATGAGCAAAGTTAACAAGCCTCCACTCTCATTGTCTAGGCTAGTTCAGTTCATGAAAGGAAAGGTATTTAAATAATTTCTGGGATTTTTAGATCGCTGTCGATTTTTGGGTTTAATTAATCGTTTTGTATGTATAAATAACTTGTAGGAGGAAAAGATTGCTGTGGTAGTGGGGACAGTGACAGATGATATTAGGGTTTATGAGGTTCCCGCTTTGAAGGTTACTGCTCTAAGGTTTACCGAGACTGCTAGAGCTAGGATTGAGAAGGCTGGTGGAGAATGCTTGACTTTTGATCAGCTTGCTTTGAGGGCTCCCTTGGGGCAAACACGGTATTCGATCTCTTGTTCCGTTTGTTTTTGTTGCTTCATGAAATGATTAGGGTCTTTTTTTGTTTCAAATGTATGTATGTCATTTTGTTTATTGGTTGGATTGGTGTTTTAAGTTATGCTTCCGTTTCTGCTTGTTCGTCTTTCATCGTAACTCTTCGAAATTGGAATGTGGATGATGGTTTCATGCAACTATTTGAATAAGGATTGTGATGTTTTCTTTGTAACTAATGGCTGAAAAATCTGTTTACAATGTGAACTTATGATGATTCGCAATTTCATATGTTCGATGTCATAATGTTCATATCCCTTGTGTGGTAAATGGTACATGTTCTATTGTGTCATGAAACCTTTTATTATTTAACCCCTTCTGTGCTCTTCTGCTAATTCTTGTTGTCTGAAAGAAGAAACGTTGCTTGAATATCTTATTTACATTGGGCTGAATTGCAGGTTCTCCTCAGAGGTCCGAAAAATTCCCGTGAAGTGGTTAAACACTTTGGTCCCGCACCCGGTGTTCCTCACAGCCACAACAAACCATACGTGCGCGCAAAGGGAAGGAAGTTCGAGAGGGCTAGAGGAAGGAGGAAACAGCAAGGGATTCAGGGTTTAAGTCGAGTTTACTGCTTATTTTGAGGCTTTCTGTCATTTAGGGTTCTATGGCAGTTGTTTGCTTGCTTAAGTTTTGCATCTTATTCATGGATTGTTTAAGAGCCTGTTTGAGAATGAATATTGCCATTGTACTCTTAAATGTGGCATTTAGTCCTTAATTCTCTTACATTTTCAGAATTTTGGTTTTGATCTGATTCTTATGGTTTCAAATTTAAAACTTTTTAAAAATAATCTTGAAATTAGTTGGTACAAGTGGTTGGGATTTAAGAATTTGAGCTTGTAAGGTCGAATTCAAAATTTACCATCACCACCGTCACTCTTGGTGGATAATATGTAAAATTCTTATTGTAAATTTCAATTGAATCTTAGGTATTCGTTGGCCTTGAATTTGAGAGTCACTTTTGATCTAAACTATTATATATACATATGTATTATATATAAAATATTAAATAAATATATATGTATATTTTATAGTTAAGAAATCTATTTAAATTGAATCAATTAATAACATTATTATTAAATTTATAATAAAATTTTAATAAAAACTTGAACAACTCAACTAAAAATATTTAAAAAATTTTGAATTATAAAATATTCTTTTTATTTGATTTGATTCTATAGAATAGCCACCCCTAATATAGTCATTTTCTTCATGATTCATGCATGTACCATGGATTAATGATATATAAGAGTTTTACCAATCTAATATCAATGAAAGCATCAAAGAGATACCAAGCATGCATTCAGCTTATACATAAACAAAACAGATTCAGAATTTTCGATGAAATTAAGAATGTGAGAGTTAATCTCATCTGCCCTTTCTTGGTTGATGAAATGACCAACACCTTCCATGACCACAACTTCATCTACATTGGCACATCTCCTTTGAAACCACCACTCTCAACATATTCTTTATCCCTGGTGTGGTATAAACACTGTCAAGATCCCCACAATGAACTTCACCGGCACTTTCACTTGTGTACCTCTCCATGCTGCTGTCAATTCCCAGTTTCTGCAATTTTACAGATAGAATTTAGGTCAAAGCTCACAAGACCATATTTTCATTCAAAATTTCTGCAATTTTACAGATAGAATTTAGGTCAAAGCTCACAAGACCATATTTCATTCAAAATCAAATTTCCAGGTAAATGAACATACAGATCCAAAGCTCTGTAGTAGTTTAAAGCGCCAGTGAAGCCTTTTTGATTGAACTTTGGTATAGTAAGTAAGATCTTCTGAGAGAACCATGGTGGTAAGGCAACTGGGGTATCTGGTTTGATACCAAAAGCATTGTCTTTAGCAAGCAAGGTGGACCTGGTTTCGACTGGAAATGATGCTCTTTAGCACGTTTGATGTTCCAATGAGCTATTTCTGCTTCGATCTTCCAGGTTCCTACAATAAAGTTTCAATGAAAATCATTTGGACTAAGTAATAATATTATAAGAGAATAGGGGACCAAAGAAATAAAAAAAAACCTGAAATCTGCAAATATAGTAATCATCTCCAAAGAAAAGCCTCATGCTCTCAAACAGGCTTCATTGGTTTCCTCGGCATGAAGGGGACGCTGAGGCAGACGAATGCCTTGACTCGATCGGGACGGAACAAGCAAAGGTACCATCCAATAATGGCACCCCAATCATGAGCCACCAAGAACACTTGTTCCACGCCGAGAGAGTCGACGAGTGCAACGAGGTCACCGACGATGTGCATGCACGTAGCTGGATATCGACGGGGAGCTCGGTGTCGCCATAGCCACGGAGATCCGGTGCGACGGTGCGGTACCCGAGTGAGCTTAGAGCAAGAATTGATGCCTCCAAGAGTACCAAGTTCGGGGCCATGAAGGATGGATGACCGCCTTCCCTTTCTCGGCTACGTGCATGGTTATGCCATTGACTTCACCATTCTGTGCTGTATTCCTTCCATTCTCTCTCTCTCTCTCTCGCTCTCTCTCTGCTCGTCTTCCCTTGTGGTTCTTTCCGTTTGTGAAACGTGATGATGACAAGCGCTTTGATATAAAGGCAAAAGCAGTGGGTTAACATGTGCGGAGCAGATGTTAAAAAGAAAGGTTTTCAAAAGTTCTGCACTCTGTCAAAAGTAAAAGTAACTGACGAAATGAATACAAGAGTTTTTTTATTTAGTTAAGAGAATAAATATTGCTTTAAAAAATTTAATTATTTAATAATAAATTTTAAATATTTATACAAAAATAGTACTCAAATCTTTCACCAATAACATCGTTTAATTTGTGTAAAATACAAGAGCTGTAAATGAGGCACATGCATCGAAACATGTATAGAAAGATGACAAACCCTACTTTGCCAACATCCCAAGTGTCGACAGCTATTAAGGGAATCAGTTGTGTTGGTTAAACCCACCGGTTTGTCCTCCCTTGCATGACTGCCACGAGTTATTTCGAGTAATTAAAAATTTTCAGTTTAAAGGTGCATTATCTACTTTTTAAATAATTAATTTTTTAATCACTTTAAAAATCAAAATATAATCGTATTGAATTTTTTTTGACGTTGATGGTTATAGTATTAATGTGACAATTTATATATTAATAAATAATCAACGATGTTAACATGATGATTTATAAATGTTGAACTAGTAATATGCATGTAAATGATAACATGATAGAAGAGATTAAAGATGTTCCGATCGAGAATTTGATAATGTTAGATTTGTACTAGTTAAAAAGTTTTGTTGGTAACTTGACATATCAAATTCGACTCCTCGTTAAAAAAATTTGTTGATCGATTCGACTCGTTACTCACCAAAATTTTTATCTTATTTTAACTATAAGTAAAATATGCTAATAATATATAGAACCTCATATAACATAAATTAGTAAATTAAACTAAAACATTATCAAAAGAGCATATAAATAATTTTAAACTTTAAACTCTAAAATATCAATTCACAAATACACCAAACTAGTTAATTAATAAATTAGTAATAATTATTAATTAATAATTTATCATCTTTCTTGTGTTCTATTAATATATTAGTAATAATTATTTAGAATTTCTTATTTTAAATGTAAAAGTTTTTTAGGTAATTAGAGAGATGAGATGATTACCCCAACATCATGTTGAGAGCAACTTCCGTAAGAGACCTCCGAATTATGAAATGCCCTCCGTGGGACTCGATCCCACGACCTCAAGGTTAAGAACCTTGTGCTCTACCAACTGAGCTGGATGGTCTTTTTTTTTTTTTAGGTAATTAGAAAAACATATAAAACAATTAACAAATTGTTCACAAACTTATCAAGTCCAATTAGACCTTACTCAACCCAACTTACTAATGTCTCGAACCGAATTGGATCTCAAGTCATACAATAATTTTTAGATTCATTTTATAATTTAAAAATAATGAGAGAAAAAAGCACCGAGACTGGGTTCCAAGAAGAACAATGTGCGAACCGAACCTAATTGAAATCGTGGAGAAAACCAACACAAGTTAAAAAAATGCATTCCCATACCAAAATGATGTGATGACAAAGCACATCAAATGAAATACTAGTGAAGTCGATGCATAAAATAAAGCACCAAATCCATTAAACACAACACTGCAACAGTGAAACTTGTGAAGTTACCAATATTCTACATTTCCCTTAGGATTGAAAAACTTGTCCTATAAGCATGATTACCTTACCCTCAGGAAGATGACTAGACTTCTTAATACCAAAATGATGTGATGACAAAGCATATCAAATGAAATACTAGTGAAGTCAATCAAAACTAGCATTTAGGAACTTCAACAATTCGTTTCTTTTACTCTCGGCCTCTTTGTCTTCCTTTGACTTGTCAAGTTTCAAGAGAATCTAGAAACAATGAGACAAAGTAAGAACCATCACAAGTGCCTATATCGGTACTTTTGGGCCGTACATTGAGACCCTGAACCCTTGCCTGTCTCTAACAAGAACATGAAGATAGACTAACCTTTTTGCCAGACACAGCACTACGCGGTGCACCATCATCCTTGTTACGCCCAAGAAACTGTATAAAAGTTAGCATGAACGAGAGTAAGCAAATTGAGGGGATAATATCATGAACCACTAACGGCAATGAATTACCTTAGAAAGCTGCACAGGACTGCTACTTCTATCATCTTTCTGTTTCTATATGTAGCTCCGATTGCCAGGACAAACACGACCCAGAAAAACAATCCAAGTCAATTGCACCCAGTTATCATGTCACATGCCACAGCTCCAATTTCAAGAGCCAACCCATAGAACAGGCAAAAAGTATTATAAGCAACCCTCAGATATTTCTTGTTAAAAGTATTCTAAAAATAATAAAAGTTGGAAAATTTGCTCAACACACATAAGATGGAACTATTGAATCTAGTAATGGAACTTCTGCCACTTTCCTGGCAGATGCTAAACTTGTGATTTAAATATACATGCTTCAATTACACATAGGTGAACAATGAAGCAAGAAAGATATTGAAAATAAAACAAAATCAAGCTCGTGATGAACTGCCATCAAATAAGGATAACCTAGCAACATTAAGCCACTAGACTCAAATTTGGATACCATGTTAAACATAATACACATAAATCATCGAGTCTTGGGTTATAATTTCATGATAGCAGGCACTCAATCTCAGGTTGTTTAAGCATCCACACTACACATATATGTTAGTTGGACTCTAGTGCAAGTATCAAATCCGGGTATGTGTGAGTATCAAATCCGGGTATGTGCCAAACATGAAAATGATCAATTCTTTCTAAGTTTCTGTGTATATTGAGGGGTCTGGGTCATGTCCCATTCCTATATATCTAGATATGTATTGGAGATGAGCATCGGACATGATATTCTACAAGAAAAATACGACTCAAAACAACATAGGGCTGTGCATTGTAAATAGTGGTATACCTCTTTCAGTTTGTGCTTTTGACGTTTATGTCGATGACTCTTGCTCCTCTCTTTTCCTTTGACTAAGAGGCAAAAGGATAACAATAAAGTAAGCCATATGGTGACTGCATTAAAATGAAAAAAAAGGGTAGAACCAAAACTTAACCTTCTTTTGCCTGTCACTTTTCTTGTGCCTCTTTGAATGGCTGGACTCATGCTCACTATCCGACGAATTGTTACCCCTACAACAATTTAGCCGTCATAAAATGTTAGGGAACTCATTGACCAAGTTTCCATGTTAAGGTTACTAGTCTGTAAAATGCTAAATAACCAAATAGTTTAATGTAATTTCTACACCTTCCATGTAACACGTAAAAGTATCAGAACAAAAACAATAAAAGAAAAAAGAACATTGATGAAGGCAAATTGTTCTTGCTCAGTTACCAACTATTCAGAGCCAAAAAGCAAGAAGTCTGATCTGCGTTTAAGCTTCAGAAGAAACAATTTGCATTTCCTTATGTCAGTAGTTACTGCAATACATACATCAACTTCCATTTGTATAAATGTATGATAATACAAATCAACCCATTGTACTATAACAAAATTTATCGAAGGCATAAGCAACGAGCTCGCTAATATACATCATAAGCTATAATTTAGATTCATTTTGAAGCTTTCATCCCGGATTATATCATTACAACCCAATCTTATTTAAACCAGCAAAAAATTAAAAGTTGGAAACGATATTAAAATATACATTACAATGGTAACATAAAAATCGAAAAATCCATGATAACGTTTCATCGAAGAACACTTCCAACGAAAATTCCAGATTTAATAAATCTTAATTGATTCGCCTAACAGCTAATCTTAAACATCAATTAGTTAACAAAAGAAACAATTTATTTTACCTGGAGGAATCGGAGTCAGACGAAGAGTAAGAATCGGAAGAGTGGCGGCGATGCTTCCTACGGCGCCGTTTACCAATCGAACGGCTCTTCTTTCGGATTTTGAGAGAATCTCTGTCTCTTTCGCGTCGGTAACTGCGATGACGGCGTTTTTTTGGCCCGTGAGGAAGACGAATCGGACAAGGAATCCGTGGAACAATAAGAAGTATCCGAAGACGACGATGCCGCCATAGGCGAACCAAAAGAGTTTTCCCCTCTCTTTTTGATCTGAGATTGGGAGAGGTGGCGGCAAAGGGCGGTCTTTATAACCTAATTCTACTTATGATTATTATCTAAAAATTTATTTAATCATAGAAAACCCCTTCCCTTAAAATAATAATTTGATTAAAAATAATAATTCTTAAGTATTCACTTACTCATAAGAAATATTTACTAATTTTTATATTAATAGAAAAGTTATAAACAATTCTTTTTTCTAATTATATTATGATGACACTAAAAGTAAATTTTTAAATATTCACCTCATAAATTACATTTCAAATATATCATTATTTAAAATTCTAATTGAATTAACGCCATAATATATTTTAATTAGGGTAAACTACGCATTTAATACCTAAATTATTAATTTTAATTCGTTTTAATACCTAAATTTTTTATTTTTTCAAAATCATACCTAAAGTTTAGTTTTTGTTTCATTTTTAATACCAAAACTTGAGTGTTGAAAAAAATTAAAAGTTAAGTACCAAAATACGTTAAGTATCTAAACCATACTTAAGTTTTGAAAAATGCATTTTAACACGAACCGTCGTGCTCGAACCAGGGCCATTGTTGTTGAACTCGGACTAGAAACAAGTGTTTATCCCCCATAGACCATCCCATTCCGTTCACCCTTCAGGTCGAATCAAATCATTGAGGTAAGATTCCATGACGATTGTCCTCGCGGATTTCCCCCGCGGACGGCCTTGGTACGTGGGGTACCTGTTCTTCACACGGACTAGTTCCGGAGCAGCCGTGAGTGTCGAGTTTTGGATGACAATAGCTGTCGGTTGTCGAGCGTCGTATCGTGCTCGTTGTCCATCTAATGGCTTCGGGACGAGGAATGTGCAGTTTTGGAAAACCGCGGGGGCGTCACCGAAAACAAAATCAATCGTCCCGGTGACGGTGCAATCGCTGTAAAATTGGCGTTTTCTGTGAACATAAAGCGTGTCCTGATAACCATCCATCGAGCAGTTGTAGAAGACGGTGAAATCAGATGTCACCATCAATGCCACAGCTTGTAATTTGGCTGCCCCGGCCGAGTTCTCGAATCCAATGTTCTTGGCAAAGAACTTGTCCCCATTAACAGCTACATCAATTGGACCATCAGTTTGTTAGAAAAAAAACATATATATGTATGAAAAGAATGCATAATCCAAAATCGTACCTACTGTGGCGGTCCTGAAGGTGGGAATGCCGGCCGCATTGTTCCGACAACCGGTAATTCGGGATTTCTCTTTACCGTCTCCGATTAGCGCCACATTTTTCATCCTATAACCGAACTAGATATTCTCTTTATAAATACCTTCCTTGATATATATTACAAAAGGCTTAGGAGAATTAAGAGGTATCCGACTCATTGCACCTTTAATGGTCATGATTCATGAAGCTTCCGCTACCGTCCTTGGCCACAATAAAATCAGCTTTGTCCACTTCGAGTAGACGACGGCTGAAGAGATTCTCTAAAGTCGTACCCGAATCGGAATTTCTACATCCGCCGGTAATGGTAACTTCGTAATCGCTGAGTAGGCGTCGGCGTACACCGCCTTGAAAGTCGGCTAGACCACGATTATGGCAAGGCCATCTATGCTTAGTTCCATGGGAATAGTCAATGCCTTCTTCATTGTCTCCCCAGGTTCACCGGTTGTATTCCTGAATCCATCTAAGCAAGTTCTTTTGTTGGTGATTGTAGCACTCAGCCAAATCCTCAAGTCAGCCGGCATTTTATCCATCTTCGTAATTCCGAACTTGTCGATTTTGTAGAACGATTTCTGTACTTCGTATACCGAATACCTCGTTAGTTGTCTGCATATATCCAATGCTATCTTCGACCTCGCATCTTTCTGAATGTCTCTCATTGTAGCCGAATTCTCTGAGGCTTGACGCAAGTACTTGATTGCGGCCGTGAATGCTGCCTGGACGAGTTCTTTGACGTCCGTCGTATTGCCAGCCACGGCCATGACTTCCTCTACGCACGTTCTCTTGCATTCCATCGGTTGGCAGATGGCCTAGATCACCTTCATTGAAGGAGCTCATTTTTATCCCCTATGTTATTTTCATCGTCGTCGCTGCTACGGCTGATACCAATGCAGACCACCACCACGATTACCATCGGCACCAACATGACGAAACAAAGCGTGACGACCCCGATTCTCTTATTCCTCTCCGGATCATCCGACAATGACATTTCCGAAAGATACGTTATTAGGTGTTCCATTTTATTTTTCTATTGAGGCCGAACCTACGATACATTGTTATATGTTCCATTTTATATTTTTATTGAGACCGAACCTAAATCTGTGCTCGAGAAATAACTGTCCATACACTGACAAGGGATGTATGGATTTTAAATTAAATATAGTATAAGGACTGAAATCATAATTTAATCATCAATAAATAAAACATACTTATGTCAAATTTAATCTCATATTACAACAGGGAAATTTAAGGACAAAGTTGAAAATTTAATTTAATTAAAGGGTATGCAAAAAATCAAAACAAACCCCCATGAAAAGGAACTCCAGTTGCAGGCAACCAGTCCTCACCATCTATGAACTTGGAGACAGTGAATCCATCAGACTCACTCTCACTTATATCCTTATGGTAACCACCCCATTGGACCCTCGAAGTGGTGTTCGAACCCGGACCCTTGTTATCGTACTCGGCATAGTAAAGAGTATCCAGTGCGAAATTCCCGGCCCATTCACTCCAACCAGACGGTTCAATCAAACTATCCATGAAACTCTGCATGTAAACCGTCCTCGAATACTCCTTCCATGGCCTTCCGAGGTACGTCTTCGTCTTGCCGTCGCTCGAGGAGAGGTCGGCAGCGGGTTTGATGACACATTTGTGGATTGAAATGCCTGTGTTTTGGTTGGGATCGGTTCTGCCTTGTGCTGTGATGGTGTTGAATTGGTTTGGCATAGGCAGCCGAGGGTATATGTTGCAGTTTTGGAGGACCACGGCCGCGTTGCCGAATATGAAATCGATTGTGCCGTAAATGTCGCATTCTTTGTAGAATTGCCTGAGGGAGTGTGCGTATAATGTGTCTTGGTATCCTTCGAAGCTGCAGCGGTAAAACGTGGACATATCGGCTCCGTTTCGGACCGCGACGGCTTGGTGTTTGCTAGGCCCGGCCGTGTTACGGAATGTGATGTCGACCGCGACAAATCCTTTCCCAACAACAGCTGCACAGGAGAGTTGTTGAGTTCATTAAAAATGTAAAGTATGTAAATGTTGGAACGTGATTCAGATGGTAATTAAATAAAAAAAATTCTAGTACATTACCAAATGTTGCAGAGTTGAATGTGGTTGATCCATCGACGAAGTTGTGGTTTCCGGTGATTATCGTCTTGTTGATACCGGCACCGATCATCATCAAGTTCTGCTTCTTCTTAGGTATGGAAACGTACTCTTCGTAAATACCAGCAGCCACGTAAATCAAGAAGTGTTGGTTGCTGTCGCCGGTATTATTCGGTGCTGCTGCCACTGCTTCATTGATGGTGGTGAAATTGCCATTTCCGTCCGGGTTAACAACCACTACGTGACTCACCGATACACCTTCTCCTTTCCCGTCTGCTCGAACATCCTTCCGTCGGCTTGCGGATTCGTAAACTTCTCGGTCTTGGCCCAACATTATTAAAGGCAGAGGAGAATCTCTGCCATGTACCAAATTGGAAACCACATGGTTTCTTCCTAACAGAGAGTTGATAAATCCATGAACCCAACCGTGCCTAAAAAGTGCAAGTGACACACTGAGGAAATTTGTTCCATTCGACATAGACGGCAACAGGTCATGCTTGACACTCGAAGCCAACGGCATAGCTTCGAGCCCTTCGACACAAGTTTGCACGTTCGTTAAAACGGCACTCAGCAAGCAATGCAAATCGTCAGCCACGAAAGTGTCGACACGATCAAATTTGATACGTTCCGACGTGTACGACAAGAAATCCACATTAGTCTCGGCTAGAAACTGGCAATCCTGGAGGGCTCGAATCGTGCCGAGGTACGAAGTCGAGGGTTGTCTAAGGAAATACTTGATGGAACCAAGGAAACTATGAGCGTTCAACAATGATTGGTGCATCGAATCCCTGCCGAAGTCGAGAATGGTGGCGAACTTATTGGAGGGTAAGATGGATTTGCAGAAATCGGCATGTGGGGTGAGCTTGCAAACGGATTCGGAGTTGAAAATCGAGGCGGGATCGGGAGAGGTAGCGAAAGATGGAGAGAAAAGGAATAAGAGAATAGGTATGGAGCAAAGAGCTGAAGCCCTGAGAGCCATTGTTATGAACCTTATTTGCTGAAATTTTGATTGGTGACACAGGCTCGGTGCCTTTGGCCATTATATAATGAGAGGCCGTGAGTCGAGCATTTGTTGTCTGCACTTAATACATGCTTTGCATTATGAATCATGCAGTAAGAACAAACGTGCACAGCAATAAGGACTAAACGAGGCTTAATTTGTGAAATGAATAAGGCATTTTAGCTTACAATGTGTGTATGTAGAGATTCGGAGAAAACCCACAAGGATGGACCGACGAGGAGCAACATTCAATTCTTTAAAAAATTTAAATTATCATATATATATTTTTTATTTTTATTGATATTCTGTTTTCTCCCTCATAAAATTTTATAAATTCGTATCCCGCTAAAAATTTTAAATTTCACTAACCCTAATATAAAATTCTGCGTCGGTCCAAAATAATACACGTCCCTTGTTTATGTATGTTTAATCCATGAGGCACGTCTTGGGGTCAACACCAACGCCTGCGGAAGGAAAAGTCTTTAACACAAACTAATATTAAAACTTGGGGTAAATTATACTATTAGTATCTAAACTATTACTTTTATTATATTTTAGTACCTAAGTTTTATTTTTCTCAAAAACATAACTAACATTTAATTTAAGTTTCATTTCAGTACACTATCGTTAAAATCACATATAATCTTCCATGCCCTTTCCTTCGTTTCACCAAACCCGCTCCCCCACGGTCTATCCTTGATTTTATAAATAAAAAAATAAATTGGCATTTTAACTAGAATAGTTAATTTTTACTATTAGCTATATAGATTAACTAATGATATTATAAAAATAAAACCGAATAAATTATATTAAAAGTATAAAGACTAACTAATAATTAGTTGTACTAATGGGATGAGACACTAGATTCTTTAAATTAAAATCCTAGCATTATGAATAGAGTAAACTATATTGGGACGATCACTCTTATAGTGAGCCTTTGGATTAATCGATCAATAGATTCGATATCAATAGTTAAACAAAAAAAAGCTACAAAGACTAAATCTATGATTTGATCATAGTAAAAGGGACCAAAACTATAATTTGAGCTTTAACTAAGGCTTAATACCCAAATAAGTGCCCAAAATATACTCTTTTTCCTGAATAGGTGACTACAATATTTTTTGGCCTATCCAGGTGACTAACGTTACAAATGTTACCATTTTAGGTGCTTGGGCCGTCAACAACGTTAATTTATTCCGTTAAGTGACACATGTCACAATCTGATAATTTTAAAACTTTTTTATAAAATTTAAAAAATAAAATTATATATATTTTTAAAAACATATAAATTTTGAAATAACCCCAAAACTTTGAAAACCATCATTTCAACCCCTAAACCCATGTCATCTGCCGCCCTTTGCCGTCGATGAAGCTCCACCCGACATCACTCCCACCGGCGACCAAAACCCCTATGAAATCGTGACCGATCGACGATCGATCGATGACGAATCAACGTTTTAAACCCCGCATACCCTAGGATGAAAATCGCAATCCCACGCGATTCTGACGACCAATCGATGACAACTACGACGACATATAACTAGGTTGATGGCAGAGACTACGTCAGTGGCGATGGTCGTGGCCAGAAAGGACGACGACGGTGGGATTGTGTTAGGATTTGGAGATTTTAGGGATTTTGAGGATTTTTTTATAATTTAAAAGAAATTAGTTTTTTTATAAATATAATATTATTTTTAATATTTTTTAAAAATATATAAATTTCAAATTTATCAAATTGTAACACGTGTCACTTAACTGAGAAAACTAACGGACGTTTTGTCCCGACACCTATATTGTTCACGTTTATAACTTTAAGCACCTAAATGGGCCAAAAAATATTGTAGGCATCAATTTAGGTTAAAAGGTATAGGTTGGACACTTATATAATTTGAGCTTTAACTAATGGCATGAAACTTTCAAGGGTGAATTACACTATAATCCTCTAACTATCAATAATACTTCAGTTGGATCCTTTATTCAATTTTGTCATCTATTTGAGTATTAAATATCACCTAAAAATTTGACGTGAATGCAATGATCGAATTTTAAATAGTATGCACATGTTGCATTGATAGTTTGGATCCAATATGTTCCCAAAAAATAGGATTATTTCTTTTAAAATTTAATATACAATAGATACAAGTTGTCTATGCAATAAGAAAAAAAACTGATTAAAATAACATTGATAGTCCAAGGACTAAATTAGAAAGATTTGAAGTTTGTGAACCAATTTCAAAAATCTGAACCATAGTTTGGGGACTTCCGTTGAAATTTACTCATTTTTTAACAACATAGTCTTGCAAATTACGTGCATATCTTTGACTGCTTAAAAAAATGGTAGATGTTTACTCAACAGTTTCTTATGTAATGATCGCACGCTTGTACAGCATATCGCCGCCCTCGGCCAGCGAATACTTCAATGCCGGCTGCCTCGTAATACAGTCATCTTCATTATGTGCCATGACTTTGCTGGCATTCAAATACCAAGGCTGCAAATAGAGTGAATTAATACCGGTAGAAGGTAATGAAGATGAATGAAGTACTACAGAACCCCAGTCTCGAGCGCCGAGTTTCGCCTCTTTCAACCTCCGCCGTATCAACAACTTTCCGACATCTTCCTTAGTTACCTCGGACACGGTCCGAAGTATCGAAACGCAAAGTAGAAGTACGAATACGGCATCTTCTTCGGGCAATAGTTCCACCACTAACAGCTTCCAATTCAACAACGCCGTCGCTCTTCCTGTTGGATTATCTTCCGTGAACCTCACAAGAGTCACGAATCCGTCATCCACTTCTTCGGCGACGTTGCTTTCGGTTTCGATATGGTATTGCATTCTACGTCCCCTCAACAACATGACCTGCGAAAACAGTGGTCCGTATGTACCGGTTCCTACATGTGGAATGAAATTAAAATCTTTGAACTTACGGATGAATCCGAAGATTGTCGAGTTTTAAGACAAAAATTGAGGCCGGAACTCGATGTCGATGATCCCGAGTTTATGAGTAATTCATCTCCTGTCGAAAACAGCCATGCCGCCTGCCATTGATCTGGAGATTCTTTTGGTGTTGCTGTTCCTACAACTTTCTCTGTACTAGATGGCAACAAATTATGGCAACAACGTTAAATTAGATCCCACCATCATGTATTACAGAGTTTAAATCCAAAAGTTGAGTACTACAGAGACGAGAACTGATTCGAAACTGGATATTTCGACACCGGATAATCGTACTTCATTTCATCGGTGACCGAATTTACAATGATCGAAACAAAGAGCGAGACCAAGCAACGTACCAGGAGCTTTACCGATAGATTCAGCAACATAAGACCAAGAGCCTTCACGTATCTCGGTTATCCTTTCGTCCCAATTTACCGCACAAGGAGTTTCTGCTCCTCTTCTCCAAAACCCTGCTCCCACTCTGCAGTTCATTCAAAATTTTCTATCAAGTTCAAACAAAGATGCTTTCTTCATCATGAAGAGGGTAATTGGACGAGTCGGGTAAGTTTCGGATCGGATAAAATCTTGTCTAAAGACATACCTTATTCTAACAACAAAACACTCTCTTCCAGCATGGTCTAGAACCGTACGAGACAGCCAACGGCCTTTCTGGGGTCGATAATTGTTCAATTTCAGAATCACATCGGATATCATGGCTCCCGAGTCATCCGTCACTCGATCAGGCACACATTTCAGCAAGTACGGTGCTTGAACCGGGGGAGTTATAGAAGCGACAACCCTCACGTGTTCAATCTCTCTCGCCAATGTAATAGTTGGTGCCCTTAGTAAATCGTTCCAACAAAACACCATTGAGCTCAGCAATTTGCTTCCTTTGAAGCAACGACCACCGCGACCGCGGAACTCAACGGTAAGTCCTTTCGTTCCGAACTCACAGTACAAATGCCATGCTTTCCGCCACGAGTCGTACGAAAAGTCGGCAATCGGTTTATCAAGCTTAAGCTCCCTATGACATCTTAACATCCTGAGACGAAGAAAATTGTGTTTTGTGTCTCCATCCGTTGCTTTCATCGGACCATTGAGCCTCATGAAAACACAAACCTGCATCGTTATGCCACAATATCAACATAGGAAAGGTTTCTAAGTTGCTATTAGACCCTCAATTTTTTTTGAAATTCTCATTAAACCCCTCAATAGTTTTGAAAATTGTAATTAGACCCTCCAAATTATTTTGCCAAGATCCACCGCAGTCTGTACTTTTCAAATCACTTTATGTTACTTGTCCGGGTCATTTTGAGTCAGATTATCATAAATCCGGATCATTTCAAATTCGAATCATTATCGAATCATTACCTCGAGGAGAAACCTTGGGATCATGGACTTGTATGTAGTGTTGACATCAACATCTGAAACCTCCCAATACATTGGTGGTTTGGGCAATGAAACCTTATCCAAATCCATAGCAATCCCACCTCCAGCTTTCTCATAAGGTTGATCAAAGGTTCTCTCCCAAAGCTTCTTGGTTTCTTCTACTTGTTTTTCTTTTACAGGCTCCCATAACCCCACTACTTTGCCCAAGTAATCCCACATCTCTTTCATATCCTCTGCATACACTGTCGGGTAGCTCTGGGTTCATTGCACACCACAAAACATTCAAACATGTAAAGTTTTGAGATGAAAAGGCAAGAGGATACAACTTTTAACTTGTATAATAGTTAATCTCAAACTTTGTCAAAGTATAGGGACTAAAGGCAAATTTTAACCCTTGAAAGATATATTCTTTCTTATGTATAATAAAAGGTCTAGTGATCATTTATACAAATATTATGGATTAATTCTACCATTATGCCTAAAATAAAATATCTTTATCAACCACTTCTTCTAAACAAGTATTAAACTCCCTAGTGGGTGAAAACTACATCAAAGAATGAAAGAAACCTTAATCCTTAATCACCATTAAAGGCCAAATAGAAATAATCTAAAACATTTGTTAGGTATTTTAACTTTATGATTAAAATATACCATCAGTCTCTCTCTACTTTGATAAAGTTTGAGATTTAATATCTTGACAGGGACTGGAAGCATAATTTGACCAATTGATATCAAAGTGATTGAAAAAGGAAAATTTACCTGATGTGTCATCAGCATCAGTAGAATATCCAGAGCAGGCACAAATCTAAAGCACTCATCTCCAAATCTTTGCATCACGTACAGAAATCCTTTGTATCTTTGTCTTGCTGCTATCAAGTGCATCAGCTCACACAGGTAGGGTTCTGAGAATTTTGAGTACAAAAGCTTGTGCTTTTCGACTTCATTGAAAAGATCTTCGTTCATCAACAATGGCGGGTTTTTGGAATATTCATCGGATTCCGCTTCGTTTTCGAATGGCTCCGATGAATATCTTTGAACCCAGATCTGTTTACAGCTCATAATCGCGTACTCTTCGTTTTCTTCGTTGAAGATCGCTGGTTTTCCGATTTGTTTTGAGAATCTTGACTCACAGTAGTTCCTGTAACCAACCTGTAAAAAAGAAAATCAATATACTATTTTGTAGGGTTTAAAGATCAGAGGGACTGGAAAAGGGATTAAGCCATTTAGTAGACACCAAAATTCCCAGATTCTGAAAAGAATTCAGAGCCTTCATATCGACCAAAGAGAATTCACAGAGAAAAGAAGAAATGAAACCCCCAAAGTGTAAGAGAAAGTGAACAACATTCTATTTGGTTGCTAAGGAAAAGGCCTTGTAAATGTTGAAGACTGTATATATATATATATATGAAGAGCTTGTAATTTTCTCACACTTTCCCATCAACCAAACAGAATACACAGTAAAAAGAAAAACATTGCATAGTTTCACACTTACTGGATTCAAGGTGTGACAAAACCAAACCCACTCAACATCAAAAGGTGGCAAGAACATAGGAGGAGATGACCCTTCCACCGTTAGATTAGAAATCAACGGCATCCACACCTCCTCATACCTCCTTATTGCTTCAATAATCGTTGCTCTTTGGTGAAGCCACTGGCACTCGTAAACACTTCTCAAGAACCCGATGTTTCGTCTCGCCGCCGACACGATATCGACTCCGAAATGCACCGTCTCCGACTCCGATATCTCGCTGAGACACCTCACGGTCAACGACGACGGCGAAGACGACATGTCGTTTAAGGTTTGCTTACAAATACCTGTGCTTTGCTTGAAACATGGGGGGAGTCTCGATCTTGTACATGATAATAATATGTAAGAAAAAGTACGAAAAACTTTGGTTAATGTTTTTTTTTTTTGGGAAAGAAGTATGGTTTGAATAGTCCCTTTGTTTTGGGGGGAGTCTCGATCTTGTACATGATAATAATATGTAAGAAAAAGTACGAAAAACTTTGGTTAATGTTTTTTTTTGGGGAAAGAAGTATGGTTTGAATAGTCCCTTTGTTTAGAGTATGTCCGATTTTAGTCATTAATTTAAAAATTAAGATTAAATAGTTTATAACATTATCAGTCTTTCTAATTTAAGTTTTTCTGTCATTAACTTTTAATGAATATATTACATAGCTGAGGGACTAGAATTAAGTGAGAGTTAACGACTGAAGGACTAAAATCGAACGGATTAGTAATTTTATGAATTAAAATTGAACGGATCAATAATATTAAAAATCACATACTTTTAAATTTTAAATTACTGACCAAAATCAGTTAAACAAAAAATAAAGGAAACTATTTGTATAATTTACCAATAACTGAACTGTTTTTTGTTTTTGTAATAAAATAATGCTGGTGGTAATATCTTTATCCAAATCTTAAGCCTTAGGCAATGGATTGCATTTTTTTAATCCGAAACAGCTAAGATACTAGACTAATCTTTTACTTTTCCTTCTATTTTTATAAGGTTTTTATATTATCTGTATCATATGTGTGATGAAATTTAATTTTTATTTTTTAATTAAAAATTATATTTATATTATTTTAAACTCAAATTATTTGGACAAAATCCCAGTTTGTTGTTTTTTTTAAAAAATAATCAATCAGATTTAAATATATGTTCTCAATTTTCTTTTTATGTTCGTGTCCATTTTTGCTACTTCTAACAATAATAATTGAAGTCGTATTTGGAAACAAAATAATAATAATTGAAGTCATTTAAAAATAATTATAATGAAAGATTTGTTGTTATTTTTTATGATTTTAAGTTCGAATATAGTGTATGTAAAAATATGAGCGTTCATCGTTAAATGATTGAGAGTATTTAAACAGATACTGCATGTATTCATTCCCGATTTATAAAAAAATTATAATAAATTTTTATTTAAGTAGTACTTTCCTAGTGGTTAAGGGATCATAGTGATTAAGGGATTTGTTGTTATACTATGAGGTCTCGAGTTAGAGCAATACGTATGCAGAGATATGAGCGTTTATTGTCAAATGATCGAGAGTCTTTGAACAAATACTACCTTTTATTTAACTCAGATATATATGTCTACCTTCAAAAATATTTTTAGATCTGCCATTGAAAAAAAGTTATAAGTACTACATTTTTTTATAAAACATGGGACGAATACAAAATAATATCTAGATATGTTGCTGCTTTTTATTGTATGTTAGTTTTTTAGTTATTCGACGGACTAAAATTTAAGATTTAATCATTTTACTTAAATTCAATATAATTTGATCGTATGTTTTTTTAATTTTATTGATGACACAAATCAAACGATTTCGATGGTAAAAAAAATTTTGTTATTCTTTAAGGTATAAGTTCGAGCATCATGAATGTCTGGAGTATGAACGTTCAATGTCAAATAATTAAGAGTTATCTTTAAACAAATAATATATTGTATTTATCTCATATTAATAAAAAATAATTGATGGGTTTAAACTAATAATGTTGTTAGTTCATATTACTTAAATAGGGACATGAGATTTATTAATTAAATTTGTAATGTATTAGTAAAAAATATTATTTTATATTATTGAAAAGAATTATATTTTAACCAAAAATAGAAGAATTTAAATATAAAAAATAAATGAAATTACTAAAACAATAATTAGACAGTTATTTTAACCAGTAGCACTTAGACAACAGTTAAGGTTTGGTTAGAAGGATAGAATTAGAGGATGTTGATATACTTGGTATGTTTCTAACATGATGTGTCCAGTTGATATTTTACAAGTTATTCCTCGAAACAAGCTTTATGACATGAATTTACAAGGACACGAAACAAATCAAAGTGGGCAAAACCCTTTTGCTTTGTCAGAACTGGGTCCCATTATTACATGATCAGATGGTCCAAACCTCAAAGCAGTGCCAAGTGTCAAAATCATGAAGGTATGATGGCAACCACCATTTACAGATGGCCACCCCACTTTCGAAGAGGAGCTAAGCTAGCCCAATAGTCCACTGGTGCACCCACACCCTTTTCTTTTTTTATTCTATGATTGAAATTGAAATATCACAACTCCTTGTTGTCCACGTGAATAAGAATCTTTGCAATCCCTTAGTTTTATTATTATTATTATTATTATTAAAAAATCAATGTTTCAATTCATTGAATTAATTTTTTTATTCTATTTATCAACAAATTAAATAAAACAAAAAATATAATCAATTTAGGGTGTGTGTTTGTTTGCCGTAATTGGAATTACGAAATTGGTTTTCCCCGAATTTCCGTGTTTGTTTCACGTAATTAATTTTCCGAAAAATATTTTCCGTGTTTGTTTCACGTAATTCGTTTTCTAGAAAACGTTTTTCCGTGTTTGTTTTCACGTAATTCGTTTTCCGGAATGTAATTCATTTTCCTAGTAACAGAATTTCCTTTGTGTTTTCTGTAAAATGACTTACGGATTCATTTTCCGTAAGTCATTTTTCGAACTTTTCACTTCAAAGTAAAAATACTCAAAATAATTTTATTTTATGAATTTAATATTAATAAAATATTTTAATATCACTTTCATCAAAATATTAATTATTAAAATATTTAAAATATATTTATTAATATTTATAATAATATAATATAATATTTTTAATATTATATAAAATAATCAATTATATTATAATAATATAAGATATTATATTTTTATTTTAATAATATATAATAAATTTTTTATATATTTAATAAGGAATAATATTATTTATATATTTCAATAATATTTTAGTAAATATATTTAAAATATACTAATTAATATTTTTAAGATATAATATAGCACTATTACTTTAATAAATAATTAATATAATTTATAATATTTTATTTCACTAAAATATACCAATATTAATATTTTTATTAATAAAATTATAAAAATAATATTTAATAATAAATAAATTATTTTAATATTTTAAAATAATAATATTAAGTTTTATGATAAATAATATTATTTATTATATTTAATATTTATAATAAATAATTTTAAAAAAACTCTTCAACTACTGGAAAAAATGTTTAAATAACATCTTCCAAACATCAAAAACGTTTTATAGATGTTTTTCAGAAATGTAATTCATTTTTAAAAAATGTAATTCATTTTCCAGAATTCAAATTCCAGTAATTCATTTTTCAATAATTCAAATTCCATTAATTCATTTTATAAAAAACTAATTACAACCAAACAAACAGACCTTTAATTTTATTTCCATGATATCTCTTTTCTTTGTACAAAAAGGGAAAGACAAACTTTGTTAGCCAATTATGTTTCAGAGGAGCCCAAAGGGGAAGAATAAATATTTGAATGACACGTGCCAACATCATTGAATTTTCGGGTTAAGTTAGATTCTCGGTCAACTCAACGAGACATGAAAAATATACACATTCTATTCGATTTGAATTTGATCTAAAAATATATAATCTTCATCCGACTTGAATTTGACCTTTCTTTTTGAAATAAAACTCAAACTCGATCCTTTCCAATCCGAAATAATAAATTTATAAAAAAATATTATTTTTATTCAACACAAAATAAATAATTAATTGAAAAGATAATATATAGAGGGCTATTGTTGTAATTATTCTTAAATATATAAAGAAAAATTAAATTTTTTTGTTAGGTCAAATCATATATTTTAACTCTAAATTCGAACTCAACCTAATCCGAACATAACCTTTAAAAGCTTGATTCAAACCCAATTTTTTTTAAAAAAAAATCTAACCCATAAAATCAAGTTAGATAAGAACTTTTTGAATCCGAGTCCCATGCGCACCCCACACATGCTTCAACATGTAACGTCCCTTCCATGAAAACCAAAACAAAACAACGTAGGATAGGAAGTATGAATTTATAAAATTATTAAGAAATTAAGATTATACTCAGTTAAATATTGAGTAAACGAATATAAAATAAAATATTAAATGATTTTAAAATGACCTTATGAAACTTGTTAACAATACCCATAATAATATTTTAAATGAAAAAAGCATACATTAAATAATTTAAATATATATAATAAGGGTAGGACCAAACATATTAAGACACAATGAGTAAGGGCCAACCAAGCTTGGAGAGCTACTTTGGAGTCCAAACCCTAACCCAAATTTCCCATGAAAAAAGATATGACACTGCATTTGATTTAATTATAATTTTTTTATTTGTTTTCATATTAAATAAATATAATTATATGTATTTTAACTCAATATTAATTATATTTTACCATTTTTCTTTTTGTATCTATTTAATTGCCATTGGCATTTATTTTTTATTGAGCATTGACACTTAATTTTTCTTTTAGTACTTTTTTTCTTTATTTTAAATTAATATTGGAGATTTATATATTTTTTAATAATATTATTTTTAAGATATGGAATTAAGATCTTTTCATAGGAGTGCAGTGTGACTACCTATTACACCTTTACTTGTAGGTGGCATTAAATTTTAATTCTCAATAAGTTGAAGACAACTTAATGGAAAAAAATTAGTTGATCATATTCTCATATGTAATGGGGTAAGGGGGAGGTAGGATAGTAGGTTGCCCCTAACGTCAGGTTGAGAGCAGCTTCCGTGGACGACCTCCGGCAGTCAGAATTATGAATTGCCCACCGTGAGACTCGATCCCACAACCACAAGGTTAAGAAATCAAACCTTATTTATTTTCACTCTTCAAACGGTCTTAAATTTGTACAAAATAAAAAGAGTTTAACACATTACATTAATTAATGAATAATTTAGGTACTTAAATAACAAAGATTGAATACTTTAGGTATCTATTTTGATCAAAAAACACTTTAGATACATGTTTTGACCAAAAATATAACCTTGGGTACTTACTTTGGCCAAAAAAATATTTTAAATACTTAGATGAAAAATAATACACTTTAAATAGTTATTTGCAATATAAGTCAAATTATTACGTAGACTTAGGGATAAACACGAGATTCGAATTTGATAAATTTCAACCTGATTCGGTCTTATTAGGTCAATTTTTTTTTTAAATTGAGTTTTGGTCTATTTTTCGGAGAATAAGTTTAGATCGAATCAGGTTTAGAATTATGATGAAAAAAACACGACCCAAATAATAATCTAATTATATATTATTTTTTAGAGATAATTATAATAATATTCTTCTTTATAGTATTGTTGTTCAATTAAATCCCTATTTTATCGAATAAATTAGTAATTTTTATAAGTTCATTTGTTTACAGTTGGATCGGATAAGCTTCGGGCTTCATTTCAAAAGACATGTCGGGGTTCAAATCAGATAAAATCATTCTAAACTCAAATCAAAATAAATTTGATTAAAAGATTTTTTTTTTAATCTAATCGAATTGATTGAAAATCCTTGGTCATTAAGCAGAACTTTCAAATGGAGACTAAGAGCGAAAAGGAGGTCAATGTCAATTTATGAATTAATAAAAGTTTAGATCATGAAAGCTGACGTCATATAAAAAATTAGCTAATCTTATTCACATATGTAATAGGGTAAGGGGAGGTAGGGTAGCAGGTTGCCCCAACGCTAGGTTGAGAACAACTTTTGTGAAAGACCTCCGATAATTATGAATTACCCACTGTAGGACTCGATCTCATAACCACAAGGTTAAAAGCCTTGCGCTCTACCAACTGAACTGGACAGACAATTCCTGACATCATATACAATATTTATGAATTAATATTGATGATGAGAGTATGTCTTAACTTATATCAAACACGGTTACTAATAAATAGAATAAAGGGTAAACTACACATGTAGTATTTTAAATATCAGTTTTGATACATTTTAGTGCTTAAACTTTTATTTTTTTTTCAAAATCATACTTAAAATTTACTTTTTGTTTCATTTTAATGCCTCGTCGTTCAAAACTTAACGTGTTTAATATCTAAATTATTAATTTTGATCCTTTTTAATACATTAATTTTTAATTTTTTTTCAAAAATTAAGTTTGATTTAGGTACTAAATGTGTTTTGATACCTAGACTTTTATTTTTTTTAAAACCATACCTAAAGTTTAGTTTTTGTTTCATTTTAGTACTTAGGCTTTCATTTTTTTTCAAAACTAAACGGCGTGATCTAAAATGAAATAAAAACTAAACTTTAAGTATAATTTTGAAAAAATTAAAAATTTATGCACTAAAACGGATCAAAGCTGATGGTTTAGATATGCGTAGTTTACCCTAGAATAAAATAAGTAGATCTAGATCCAAATGTCTTCATAATGTGTAAATGAATTCTTCTCAACAGTGGCATGCTATGATTTTGCCTTTTTTTTACTTATATTCATTCAGTCACGAAAATCGCAGAAGATAGCAAAGATTCCCTGAAATTTTAATCAAACTGCCCATTGGGAATCATCCCACTAATTTCTTCCACTTCAATTTCATATAATAATTTGATTCTTTCAAAACAAAAATGCAAGTTTTGGAGCTGAACATGTTACCAGAGAGCTGCGTTGCCGAGATTCTGTCCCTCACATCTCCTTCAGACGCTTGTAGATCATCGTTGGTTTCGATCACTTTTCGATCGGCGGCGGATTCCGATTACGTCTGGGGCAAGTTCTTGCCGTCTGAATACCATGAAAGTGTGTGGGAGGCTTGTGATGCAAGTTTCCAGTTTTGTTCGAAGAAGGAGCTTTATTTCCTCCTCTGCAACCCTCTTCTTGTTGGCGATGGCAAGATGGTTAGTTTCCCAGAAAGAAAGCTTACGAATTTTAATGATGTTTTGGTTCTTGTCATAACCTGTTGCATGCAAAATGCAGAGTTTCAGATTAGAGAGATCGAGTGGAAGAATGTCATATATAATATCAGCAAGGGAGCTTTCTATAACGTGGAGCAATGATCCAATGCTTTGGGTTTGGAAATCCATCCCTGAATCAAGGCCAGTCGTTTTCAACAATAACGATATCAATTGAACTAATACTCGATCGAATATACAGATTCTGACACACCATTTTCTTCTCTCCAGGTTCTCGGAGGTGGCTGAACTCGTCACCACAAGCTGGCTGGAAATCAATGGCAAAATCACAACCAAAATGCTTTCTCCCAACACAAATTACGGAGCTTATCTCATTCTTAAAACCACCGAGAGATCATTCGGACTCGATTTAATACCGTGCGAGACGTCGATCGAAATCGGGAGCCGGACGTTGAAGAACACGGCGTATATGCGATGCCAAGACGCCAAGAAACAACAGATAGAAACCCTGTTTTATTCCAACAGGAAAGAGATGATGAAGTCGAGGGTGGTTAAAGGAGACGATGGGGTGATGAGTAAAAGAGAAGATGGATGGATGGAGATGGAGATGGAGCTGGAGCTGGAGCTGGGGGAGTTCTTCAATGGCGGATTCGGTGACGAACGAGTGAAGATGAGTTTGATGGAAATAAAGGGTCATCAGCTTAAAGGTGGGGTTACAATTGAAGGCATCGAAATCAGGCCAAAAAAATAAATTTCAGGGACTAGAGAAACATATTTCCCTTTTTGTTTCCTTGGATTCTTTTTTTTAAAAATTGATGACTTCCTTTTTATTTTTAAGTCAATGATTATAATATTCGATCTAAATCAAAAGAAATAAATCGTTATCGACGGTCGCAATCTAAATTATTTCTTCAATAATATTATACAATAATTAATAATTTTTTACTGGTACAAAATAAAATAAATCAATTTAATACTATCATCAATTATTTCTGGAGCTCCGTTGAGACATGTTCATTTTCGTCAAGCCCGACGGCCATAAGACCTTAGAACATAGTTCCATTCTGGTCGATAAGATATTCAAAATATTATCATCTCAGATTATTTTAAAAATTATTTTTTTATTTTTTCAGAAATATCTTAAAATCTTTTTAAATTTCATTTTTTCAAATTCTCTTTAAACTTTTTAGTACTGAATCATCTTTTCCAAAATTCTAATAGTGATTTAGATTCTATATCAAAGTCATTTCCATTTTGTTTTGGGTTGAATTTCTCGAGTTTTAAAAATACTTTGAAAAAAATATAAATTGATAGAGTAACAGAAGACGATAAAATAAATTTGTTGATGTCTTTGAGTGGTCGGAGAAATGCTATAAAATTATAATTTATAGTTATGGTACCGATGGAAGATAGAGATTAAAAAATTAGGAGGACAACACATGGGTTCCACAGCAGCAAAACAACAATCAATGTTAATATAAAATCGTCCATGCCACCGTATTATTTCTGATTCAAAGCTTGGGTGATTGAACAGATGTAATTCAAAAGTTAAAAAGATTAAATTATAACAAAGTTTAATGACTAAAACAGGAACAAGATAAAGTTGAATGGCGGAAAACGTAGTTTTGCCTATAAAATAATGATAGGACCAGAGATATAAACCTGATGAACCAAAATCTAAATTACCATTAAAACCTTGGCCTCTTTGACCTTTGAAGATAGGGATGGTAAGTTAGATTAGATCGAGCTTTTGGTCAAATCTACTCAACCAAGAAAAAATATATACTGTTTATTTGAGTTTGATCTGACTCGAAAAAATATACTTTCCTCCTGATTCAACTTGACCTAAAGAGTATATTTCTTATATCCGAAATTGTCCTGATCCAAAATTTTATCGTATAAACTCGATTTGACCATAAAATAAGGATTTGATCCATAAGTTTATATGAAAATATTACATTATTACTCTCAGATCGGGTCGGATGAAGGGTGAAACGGGTCGAGATAATTTTATCCTATATAAAATCCAACTTGAATCCCATTTTTTCTTCAAAAACCGATCTTATAAAATCAAATCGAATCAAAATCTATCCATTTGTGATTAAATTACCGAAGAAAACATAACACAACATTAGGAGAGATAATATTGGTCATATTTAACAAATATTTTTTTGTACTAGAATTTTAACAAATGAAATTAATGGACATATTGATTATATTAACAAAAACAAATCACGCCCCTATCTTGATCAAACCAGAATCTAAGGAAACAAAAAAAAGGGGAAATATCTTGCTCTAGTCCCTGGAACTTTTATGTTTTTGGCCTGATTTCAATGCCTTCAATTATAACCCCACCTTTAAGCTGATGACCCTTTATTTCCATCAAACCCATCTTCACTTGTTCGTCACCGAATCCGCCATTGAAGAACTCCCCCAGCTCCATCTCCATCCATCCATCTTCTCTTTTACTCATCACCCCATCGTCTCCTTTAACCACCCTCGACTTCATCATCTCTTTCCTGTTGGAATAAAACAGGGTTTCTATTTGTTGTTTCTTGGCGTCTTGGCATCGCATATATGCCGTGTTCTTCAACGTCCGGCTCCCGATTTCGATCGACGTCTCGCACGGTATTAAATCGAGTCCGAATGATCTCTCGGTGGTTTTAAGAATGAGAAAAGCTCCGTAATTTGTGTTGGGAGAAAGCATTTTGGTTGTGATTTTGCCATTGATTTCCAGCCAGCTTGTGGTAACGAGTTCAGCCACCTCCGAGAACCTGGAGAGAAGAAAATGGTGTGTCAGAATCTGTATATTCGATCGAGTATTAGTTCAATTGATATCGTTATTGTTGAAAACGACTGGCCTTGATTCAGGGATGGATTTCCAAACCCAAAGCATTGGATCATTGCTCCACGTTATAGAAAGCTCCCTTGCTGATATTATATATGACATTCTTCCACTCGATCTCTCTAATCTGAAACTCTGCATTTTGCATGCAACAGGTTATGACAAGAACCAAAACATCATTAAAATTCGTAAGCTTTCTTTCTGGGAAACTAACCATCTTGCCATCGCCAACAAGAAGAGGGTTGCAGAGGAGGAAATAAAGCTCCTTCTTCGAACAAAACTGGAAACTTGCATCACAAGCCTCCCACACACTTTCATGGTATTCAGACGGCAAGAACTTGCCCCAGACGTAATCGGAATCCGCCGCCGATCGAAAAGTGGTCGAAACCAACGATGATCTACAAGCGTATGAAGGAGATGTGAGGGACAGAATCTCGGCAACGCAGCTCTCTGGTAACATGTTCAGCTCCAAAACTTGCATTTTTGCTTTGAAAAAAAAAAACCAATGAAAGAATCAAATTATTATATGAAATTTGAGGGACGATTCTCAATGGGCAATGTGCTGCTGGTTCATATGGTGCAATGGGCAATGTGCTGCTGGTTTATATGGTGCAATGGGCAGTTTGTTTACAATTACATGGACTCTTCGCCATCGTTTCGTGTATGCTTTTTATGGGGTCATAGCATACCACAGTTGATGGGAATTACTTTAGTATTTTCTTAATATCTAACGTGCAGATCTTGTAATATATTTAGTATATATCCATATGCTTTTATATAAATAACTATTAATTAAACCGCCGATACTAATTGAATATTAATTTAGTACTAATGGACTTTGACCTGCTTTATGCTCTGAGCCTCCTTCGAAAGTTCTATCTACAAAATTGTACAACTTTGACAATTTATGTAACACCCCCAACCCGTATCCGACCCGGATACGAGTCCGAAGTGTCACATTGACTTTTCAAACATTTATTCGTATAAAATAGTGAGTAATTTAAAAACTTTGATAACATTTAACTTATTCAAAACGTTTACAAAATATAGCAGAGTTCATACAATTTATATCTTTAGACTACATGCCAACTACACTCTATAACCAGTACATATATTTTCTGATCTGACATTTGGTAAGGAGAACTGACCTGTCTTGCTCCGCATTACTCTTTACTCTTCTCGAAACCTACGTGTGAAACAATCACACGCTAAGTCGAAGACTTAGTGAGGCATAACAACTTATAATGCACTTTATAACATATATCAATACATGCATGTTCTGTTTTATCATGTTATACCAATTCCATGCATTCTTCGTATCATATAAATCATATCAGATTAATTACAGTAAATACATACATACACATAATTCATCATTAACAGTTTATCATGTAATCACATACTTTTATGGTTAACCTTTTCAATCAAACACTATACACACACAACATCATATCATTTCTATAACATTTATCATACCACTAACATATATTTGTTCATATCTCTGGATTAGCCCATGTACATATGTAAGAACTATCGATATGTGAGTCTATAGAGGTTGTGCACTAATGCTGTCACCACAGCTCATATAATTGCACCGAAGTGCCGCGTAGAATTGCACCGTAGTGCCATATAATAATGTCCATAAGGACCACATATATTCCTTAAGAATCATATACATATACTAGGGATCAAGCATGTGTCTTACAAGACTTCACACATGTTCCACAGAATATATATATATCCCGAAGGACCGCATAGAATTGCACCGTAGTGCCATATAATAATGTCCATAAGGACCACATATTATTCCTTAAAAATCATATACATATACTAAGGATCAAGTATGTGCCTCAAAGACCTCATAAATGTTCCAAAGAATATACATATGTCCCGAAGGACCGCGTAGACCCTCGATTCTGGCATGCCAACTATACCCCTAGCTCTCATGACACATAACATGGGCATTATCATTTATTTCATTTCAAATATTCACATAAACATGTAATTCACTTTCACATATCACGTATCACATAGCTTCTTTTCATATTATCACATAGTCACATAGTTCACTTACACGTAGATCATTTCCATATATTCACATGTCACATATCTCATGTTCTTGTATTATATAACATATAATCACATAGATTACTTTCACATCACATAATTCATAGTTATGATTTTATATATTTACCTAATTACAAAGCTAATTCACCTATACATGTTTTCATATAATTTCTATCATTTCTCACCCAACCACATTTATTCATGTAAACATACTTATCATATCTTGTTCACATATGATCATATACTTCATATAACAGATAGAAACACTTAGAACACTTTCACATAGCTTATCGTATTTCTAAATATATCATTTAATAGTATTTTTATTTAGGTAATAATTTAATCTATTTACTTAATTCAATTTCATAATTTCATTATAATCTTTTCATATAGCTCCATAGATATTTAGCATATAACTTATCTTGCATATTCGTATCGTCCCTTTATATTCAAGTTTCCTAATTGATATACTATTCCCATTTCATTCTATAATTCAATCTTATTTAGTTCCCTTAACTCTTTTTAAATCAAAAAGCTCTATTATACTAATTCCCATAATGGATCATACCACTATTTAATTGTCCAACTCATGTTTACCTAGTTCATATCACTTCTCATGAACTCACTCTCATCATCTTTTCATATTCTTACATATTTTATCTCATAACCATGTATTCACATAGCCTTATATTTCATTATCATATTACTTATATTTGTTCTCCTATGACTCTTTATAAACATCTATTTTCATTTCCCTACATCTCTTGACTTATCTTCTATATTCATATAATTTCATAACTTATTTTATATTCTCTCATTAACACTTAACCGTATTTTTTTACATAATCCACATAGCACATGCAAAACAAAACCTATCAATTCATATAATCCAACATACATACACTTCATATTGTTAACATACTTATAATCAAGACTTAATGAGCTATTACTATAGGAATAGACTTATCACAAGTCCAATTTCCATATAATCTTATACGATAAGATGCACTCACCTGGGCCTCGTTGTTTGAATCAATCCTAATCCTTAATTTGTTCCGGAACAAGCTTTCATTCTATATCTACATAATAATACATTAATACTTATCAATATACTGATTGATATATTCAAAACTATCACTCCTTAGGCTCAGAGAAAAGCCAATTTCATCTTTTTATGAAGGTATGCATCGATGCACTACTGATGCATCGGTGCATAAAATGCATTCGATGTTGTATTATTACTGGGATGCATCGATGCATGCCTTATGCATCGATGCACTAATTGCATTCGATGTTTCTATTTAAAAAGAGTGCATCGATGCATTACCAATGCATCGATACACCTTCAAGTAATTTCTGGGTTTTAACCTTGATGCATCGATGCACTATGAATGTGCATCGATGCACTCTGCCCAGAATCCTCTTTAATGCCCGAAAATCCACTCTTTTCAGCTTAATACTTCATATGTCATCCCCTTTCTTATGTCATAACTTTCATATACATAATTAAACTCATTAATATTCATTTATCTCATCTTTAACCTTAATATCCTCTCATCTTTAGGAATTTTATGAATCATACCCTATTTTCCACACATTTCAAATCCAATTATAACACTTAATACTTCTTAATTAAGCTGATGGCAAGTCAAATCCAACTTTAGAACTTAAAAAACCTTTCTATAACAAAAGTTCATTTATAAACCCTTAATAGAAATTCCTTTCTAATTCTATCTCTTTGGTGTTTTAAACTTATATAAGCTTTCCTTAAGCTTACATAACCCTCAAAGACTCAAATCCAACTTAAAACTTTCAAGAAATCAAAAGCTAAATCAAACTTACCTTTGCTCTTGGCTTCCACGTGAAGAAGAAGAAGAAAGGAGAAAGAGAATTCTAGAGAATTCTCTCCCTCTCCACGTGTATATAATTCCATTTTTTTCTTAAATGATCAAATGACCATTTTACCCTTTATTTCCTTTAATAATTACTGAATAACCTTCATCATATTTCCAATAAGTCATTGAACTATTCAATTATCTTACTTTAATCACCAATTTCTGAAACTTTATAATTTGGTCACTAACCCGGTATTGAGGATGTTACAATTTATGGTTGGAATCTGTTTTTGTATATTATGAACTGTCAAAGTTATATAAGAGATTTAGGGTTAGGATGGGCATGGTCGGATTGAGTCAGGATTTCGGTCAATCCGGTCCGATTTGAAAATTATATATCTTTCATCTGACCAGAAAAATATATATTCTCTGACCGATTTAAATTTGACATGCCTTTTTGAGATAATATTCGAACCCAATCTAACCCGACTCGAAATAATATATTTATAAAAAATGTTACTTTTATTTAATAAAAATATGGATTTAATCGAAAAAATAATATATAATGGGGTATTATTGCAATTATCCCTAAATATATAACGTAAAATTACTTTTTTTTGGTCGAATATAGTTAGATATTTTTCACTCTAAACACGTACTCAACCTGACCTTTATATAACATCTAAAAATCCGATCTGACCTGAACTCGAATTTATTTAAAAAAAATCAACTCGACGGGGTAGGGATGGGTTGGGTTGGAACCATGCCCATCCTTATTTAGGGTTGCAAAATTAGATGAATAAAAAAATAAAAAAAATATATATATATGTATATATAATATATAGAGATTTAAAATTTCTAGGAGGCCCGCACCCCCTTAGTCCATCTCAATCTCTAATTGGTTGCTATTTGATTACTATTCTTGGGTCATTGAGATTCACTTATGTTGGTTGGTACTTGCAATCATCACAAATATGTTGCACTTGAGTTATGACAAGTCAGTTGCTAATGTACTATCATGTTTATATTATTATATTAATATTGGTGATGTTTATCTTTCACCGTCGACGGTGGTGTATGTTTGTATATTATTATAACGTTTAACTAAATAATCATTTTAGTTATTTATTTTTATAGCATTTTGATTATCAACGTTTTATTTTAGGATAAAAAATGTCTTAATTTTAGACTGTCAACCGTTTGTTAAGTAACTATTTTCATACATAGAAGAGTCTTTTTGCCCTAAAATAAAACATTGAGTGTCAAATTTCTATAAAAATGAATAAGGACTAAAATGATTATTTGAATAAATATTGGGAATTAATATATATTATGCCATTTCTCTTTTAAGGGGTAGTGGTGGCATTTATTTATTTTTATATTAATATAATATAAAATCTATATAGAAAACTTTCTTTTTGAAAATTTTGGGGTGTCATTGACACCCCTCATCTATATCGGCTCCGTCAGTGAGTCAAGTCTAAATGACCGAGTCAAATTTTCCCATAAGATGAAGTTGTCAACTGATGAGATGTATCCATTTTGGTCAAGCCCGGCGGCCATAGGACCTTAGAACATAGCTCCATTGTTGTAAAACCGGCAGCATAAAGTTGCATCACAAATTTAGATATGTTAAAATCATGTCGATATTCGGTTCATATCGAATTTAGATAAATTAAATTTGTGTTATTCTCGGTTTAAATTATTCTCGGTTCTTGTTACTTTTTGTTCAAATTAAATTTGATTTAGTTTACTTTCAGTTCTGATTATTTTCGATTCGGATCAGATTGAGTACGAGTTCATAACAGTCTAGCTAAAATTCAAATCAAGATTAACTTAATTTGTTGGAATCCATATAAAGTCTCGATTCGAGTAATCTGGTTCCGATCAAATTTAGTATGTTAGCATTATGAGTTAGATTGACTTTCTTTCAAGAAAAAAATTTACGTCGATATTTTAACCATAAAAGTTAATGATGCGAGCTATTTGGACGAGCTAATAACATTACAAAAATATAGGGATCAAATTAAATAAAATTAAAGTATATAGATTTAATTTCAAATTTGAATATAGAAGAGGGACCAAAACATAATTTAACGCGCCTTATCTGTGAATACTCAAAACCCACCAAAGCTCAAACTCACTTGTTCCACACGAAAAGTTTGCTTCTTTGCACTCAAATCTTGAAGCTTTTTCGTTTTAAATTCCATGGCTTTAACCCTAAACTCAAAACCCACAATTTCTTTATCCTCTTCTTCATTCCATCACCATCCTCCTCCTCCTCCTTTCTCCGCCAATTTTTCACCCAAAACCCAGACTTTTACCACAAGAATCCATAACCTTCAGTACCCATCAGTCAACCTCACCTTCTCCAGAAGATCGTTCATTCTCCCTTCAGTCTCTGGAATCTGGGGTGCTTTAACCGGAAATAACAATGCCAGAGAAGCTGTGATTGCTATAAGACGTGGAATGTTACTGTTTAGGCAGGTGAGTTTAGTTTCATTTGATTCTTCTAGCTATTTTTATTCTACATGATTTATCACTTTCTTTTTTTCTCTATGAAGGGTGATGTTCCAGGATCTTTAGCTGAATTTGACAAGGCAGTTGAATTGGATTCCCGACAAAAGGCATGTAAGTTCCTAAAATTAACATCTTTGGCAAAGAATTCGACCCTTTTGTAATGATGTGGATTCTCACAATATCTTGTTATAGATCTTTGGCAAAGAGGGTTGTCATTGTTCTATCTTGATAGGTAAATAGTTTTGTATTTCTGCATTTCCCCTTTGATCTTTTGATGTGCTTAATTGAACTTTCCTTATGTTTGATTGCAAGAAGATCAATGGAAATTCTCAGATTTATGCTCTTTTCTGTTTTTCTGTACTATTTGATGCAATGTGCGTTTTGGATTCTCTTTAGGTTTGAAGAAGGTGCAGAGCAGTTTAGATTAGATGTTGCTCAGAACCCTAATGATACCGAGGAATCGATATGGTGCTTTCTCTGTGAAGCTCAATTATATGGAGTAGACGAAGCAAGGAGGCGCTTTCTCGAGGTAAGTAATAGCATAGATACTGCTAACTTGAGTCGAACATAGCCTCGCCTTATAATGAGTTGATTGCTATGTATCGCCATGGCATTCACCGGTCGAAGTATGCAACATGAGCTCAACCGCTTTGAGTAAAATCGATCGTTGCAGTTTCTTTGAAGTTTGAGGGACTGTAAATGCATAAGTTGTTCATGCCTGAAATGTAGGTTGGCAGAGATCCACGGCCCGTCATGCTGGAAGCTTATAACATGTTTAAAGATGGAGGTGATCCAGAAAAGGTATTGATTGAAACGTGTTGCTGAACATACCGTTTTCGATTATATCAATGTTTCTAACTAGACAAAGGAAACTAATTTTGCTGTGTAGCTTGTTGCTGCATTCACCACCGGCCCGGAGAATTTCTATGCTTCTTTATATGCAGGACTTTACTACGAATCTCAGGTTCGTTTCTATCCTTCAGTTGCTGCTATATGATTACAATGTACGTGTCATACTCGGTAATGGTGACCGATAGATACATTTGATGCTTCAGTCCCGGTATCATTGCTTACGAAATGTTTGTATTTTCGGAATCGTTGTGTTTATTGCATTTCACCGTGCAGAAGAAACCCGATGCAGCCAAAGTTCACATACTTTCAGCATGCAACTCTCCTTATGGACAAAGGTTTGAACTGCGAATACTTTCGTGTTTATGACCATTGCAACTGATAACAACACAGCATCACTTCAACTCGCCTAATTTCTTTTCAGGTCCGATGATTACATGGCTTCCCTTGCCAAAGTTCATTGTCTTTGTCGAAACTGGAGCTCCGAGTGATGTCCCTTGCTCAACCTCAGTAAAACAAACTCCGCTGCTGGTTTTGGAGCGAAAAATCGTCATAATCACACGCCACTTATGTCAGGGGAGTTGGAGTCCGAGATCATATGTGAATACCGAATAGCTCTATCTGTATATTTCTATGTTAAATATTCTCAGAATGCAGTGTTCTTGAGGACCAAAGAAGACTAATCCGCAAAGGAATGGAACTGATGAACCCTTGCTGCAACTCAGTGTTGCATAGTGATTCATTAAATTTTGACTCGTAAAGAATCAGTGTATCGATATTAAATTAAATTATAAATTACCATGTTTTTTTAATTTGACTTTCTTTTGTAGGACTTATAATTTTTAGGCTACATTACACAATAACCACTTAACTATTGCTCTTTTCAATTTTGACAATTGATCTTTTAATTTGTTAATTAGACCACTTGCCGTTAACATTTAACGGAAGTGATGATGTGGCACTTGACACAATTAATATAATTATATATTTAGTTCTCTTTACTTACGCATTCTATTAAATTGATCATAATTTTAAATTAATTCAATATATTTAATCCTCCAATTTGATAGGATATGTAAGTAATGAGGATTAAATGTATAATTATACTAATTTTGTTAACAGTCACGTCATTACTTCCGTTAAATATTAATAGCCAATAATAGCAAGTGGTTGATTGACATTATTTAAATAATTAAGTGATTTAATTGAAAAAATTGAAAAATTGATGGTTAAAATGAAAAGGGACAATAGTTAAATGGTCATTGATATAGTTTACCCTAATTTTATATAAATTTATTAACATTTTTAGTCTAATTTGATAATCTAATACAAATTAGTATCTAAATATTAATTTGATAAAATAGATAAAGTTAATTAATTGCAATATCTAAATATAAAAATAGTGAACAAATATAACTGTAGAATGAAACAAACAATTGGGTTGGGTGTGGTTAACTTATAATAGTTACCTTTATTTTGTTTTTTTTTCTGATTTTGGTCACTTAACTTTTAATTGTTATGTTTTGATCACTAACAATATCGATTTATCATGATCATGCGGACATTAAATTATGTTATATTGATGATGTGACATATCAGTAAAAAAAATAATTTTTGATTTGATCTCAGAATTTAGATAAAATATCAATTTAATACTTTTTACAATAATTTAACTATAATTCTTAACTATAATTCTATAAGAATCTTAATTGTCGTCCTTAGTTCAATCATCTCAATTCATTTACAAGAACGAACACAAAAATTTAAAATATTACCTTTTAGGTTGCATACGAAAGCTTCTCTCCTACTTTGATGGTTAGCAATGTTCACTGTCGGATGAGTTTAAAATTAGATATGTGATTCTATTCAAGTCGACAGAAGTTTTCACTACTTAGATCTCTGAGATATTGTCAAAGTCTTTATACTCCAACTTAATTGAGAGATGAGTATCCTTTCCTTTTCTTAGGTTTTCTCTTTTTTTTTTCTTTTCTGTTCTTTACTGTTTGATTTCGACTGGAGAAGGTAACTGGAGAGGCGACGTCAGTGAAACCAAAGATGACGAATAAAATTCATTTATAACTATAATTAAAATAGTATAAAAAGTATCCAACTGATATTTTATCTAGAATTTAGGAATCAAATTAGAAAGTGACCATTTTCTAACATGTCGGTCCATCAATGCAACAGTAGTTAACATCTGAGTCACTATTTTATGATAAATCAATAAGATAAAGTGACCAAAACATAACAATTAGAAATTGAGAAGCCAATATCAGAAGAAAATGAAACAAAAGGGACCACCAATAGAATTTACCAAACATAAAACAACTTATAAGTTATAAGCATATGGACCTCAAACATTCGACACTTTTCGGCATATTCTTTTGTTGGCAACACAAAGTTGAAGGATATTCTTAAAACCCAATTATGCAATAAGCACCTATAATACATCATAATTTTAATTAAATTACTCCAATTTTTATGTATTTTTTTGAATTATTCATACATTTTATATAACGTATTCATATTAAAATCCGAATAATATAGTGATATCTTTATTATATGTTGTAAACCTTGGTTATAATTCGAATATTATCTATTTTTAATAAAATTAGCGATTACTATTAAAAAAAAGTTTGTAAGTAAAAAGGAAAATTTTCATTTCTCCTACATGCAACTGGATGTTATTACCTGAAGGAAACTATATAAATTATTGGTCTATTTTCCTGTCTGCAAATTTTCTTACAAAACAAACACAAGTATAGTACAAAGAAATGTTTTCTTTATATATTGGGGCATGCCAACTCGGTTTCTTGGAGATTTTGTTGGTGTTTCGACTAGGAGTTTCCCATGTCTTCAGAGAGACTCATTGCAGATGATGTTATGTGGTCCGATAGCCGAAGTATGGTTCAACGGCAACCATTGTAGGATTACAGATAAAACTTACTTTAGCTTTGCATTACATTGTTGGCATGTCAAAGGTTAGAGAATTGCTTCAATGCTTAGGGCTAGTGGACCATGTCGCAGTAGTGCAAGACGATGATGAACCTGATGTCTAGCTATCCCGTTAAATCATGATGGAAGCTCGCGAATAGGCGAGTGCTTACTGTTTTTCTATGGATTTTGCTCTATAGAGAACCCTGCTCTGCCATTGCTACCTATTGTAGTTCTAAATATTTGATTCCTTGATGCAGAAATGTCCATCCGTGCGGTTTTGCCGATTCTTCGCCCGACGTTAGGAGGGCAGCAAATCGTTTCCGACAAAGCCAATTGGCAATGCAAGGTTATCTGAATCATTTCTTGGGGAACTTGGACATAGTAAATTCCAGAGAGGTGAGCATAGAATCTTCTTTTTCTTATTACATAGCCCTGCATGTTGGACTATCCACTTGCCATTGTACCATGCATTTCCAAATTTCAGGTCTGCAAATTTTTGGAGGGTCCAAGCTGTCGTTTTCAAGTGAATACGGTCCAAAGTTAAAGGAAGGGTATGTTACGGTGAAGCATCTATCAAACGTTGCTGGCGATGATATCGGATGTCTTCCATGCCAGTGGTTTAGTTGCTGCGCTAACAATTGGAAAAAGGTAGTTGAATGTCCGATCTGTGGGACGAAATATGTCGAATATGTATTGGTTCGTGAAATTTATACTAATTCTCATTACCTATGTACCATCTGCAGTATTTTCAATAACTTCTGTTCTTTCTTATTGTTCTGCATGTAGGTGTGGGCAGTCATGAAACCGGGGTTCTTGGCGTTGCTTAAAGATCTTTTGATACAAAGCTTCTAGACATTATTGTTTTCGATGTACTACCGGCCTCGAACTCGAACAAAGATGTGAAGTCTCGGGTGTGTTTCGCAGAACAGATAAAAGAACATAACCCGTTGTGCTATGCATTTAGGGTAAGTTATTTGTACTACTTGTGAATAGAATCAAGTTTCTTTCTATTAGTATTACCTAAATTAAAGTATCCTTTTGCATTCAAGTCTAACAATGGAAAATGTGGAAAGATCTCTTTTGGAAGTCGGAGCATGGACTTGAGAGTCACGAGTGACGGTAAAGCCAAAGAATGGGTTGCTGTCATTAACGATGCCGGCATAGGGATCCCGGGGTTGGTGTTATCCTCACCGCTTTGGTTCGTTTGCTCCTCGAGAGGTTTGAATGAAGATGGCAGTCAAGCTCAATGGTTTATTGACGGTAAAGCTGTATTCGAAGCCATTGCAACTTCGATAGAGAAGGCAAAAACAGAGGCTTATAGCTTCAATTTCGTATTTTTCGATCCCATTTATTCCTGGAATTCGATGATTGAAATATTTTTTATGCAGATATTCATAACTGGCTGGTGGCTCTGCCCAGAGCTGTATCTGAGGCGTCCTTTCACTAGTAATCTTTCTTCTAGGCTCAATGCACTACTTGAAGCAAAGGCTAAGCAAGGAGTTCAGGTGTAAATTTTTCGACTTCTGCTCGATATCATAATAATTTCGATAGTTCATTAACTAAAATTTACTCTGCAGATTTACATTCTTCTTTATAAGGAGGTTTCCATTGCTTTAAAAATCAATAGCTTGTATAGCAAGAAACTGCTTCATAACATTCATGAGAACGTAAGGGTGTTGCGCTATCCCGACCATTTTTTGACGGGCGTATATTTATGGTATGCAACTTAGAGATGAAGTTCAGTCCATATTTCCACACGGATGATCTGCATTTTATTGACATCACGATTGAACACGGTATGGCTAAATGCAGGTCCCATCATGAGAAACTTGTTATCGTCGATTACCAGATATGCTTTATCGGAGGTTTAGATTTGTGTTTCGGACGGTATGATACAGTTGAACACAGAGTTGGCGATTGCCCTCCATTTACATGGCCTGGAAAGGACTACTATAATCCTAGGTATTTAACTGAGCATCTTCAGAACCAATGAATTTTGAGGACAATATATGCACTTTAGATTATTGACATTATTTGTTTTTTTGGTGATTCTGTTTAGAGAATCCGAACCGGATTCTTGGGAGGAATCGATTAAAGACGAACTGGAACAAGAGAGATATCCCCGTATGCCATGGCATGATGTCCACTGTGCTCTATGGGGACCGCCTTGTCGCGATGTTGCTAGGCACTTTGTCCAACTTTGGAAACATGCCAAGGTTATTCTTCTCCGCTTCGGGCTCTCAGAGCACATGATTGTTATCTCGGCCAAAGTTTTTATTTCTGATACGTATAAGTTGTTTGTTTGCAGAGAAATAAAGCTCTACATGAGCAAACAATTCCATTACTTATGCCTCAACACCACATGGTACTCCCTCATTATATGGGAAATAGAGAGATCGAAATTGAAAGCAACGGAGATGTCAATCGGAGAAAACTCGGCAGACAGGATTCATTTTCCTCACCATCGCCCTATGACGACATGCCGTTGCTTTTGCCCCAAGAATCAGATGGACTTCTTGTTTCTCATGGAGACAGAAAGTTAAATGATTCTGAAAGCGACTCCTTAGGCTCAGATACACAAATCAAGGGCACTGCAGATGACCTTCATTGCGTGGATCCTCGAAAGGTCCTGGAAACAAACGAAACGCCACTATCGGACACGTATGTTCCTGAAGAATGGGGGGAAACAACCGTGACCGATGATAATAACGATTCCGTAGGTGAATACGGAGAGATCGGTCCTCGTATAGTATGCCATTGTCAGGTTAGCTTTGCTCTTGAAAGCCAGTACACTTACCGATCATTCGGATTTTTCATCATTTTTAAAGTGCCCGTGTTCGATATCTTTGTTTATAGATCATCAGAAGTGTTGGCCAGTGGTCCGCAGGAACGAGTCAAACCGAAGAAAGTATTCATAGAGCTTATTGTTCCTTAATTGAGCGAGCAGAGCATTTATTTACATTGAGGTAACATAAAGTGCAGTAACATCTTTCTCCAGGACTTGAAATTGAAGTCAATGGTTAACTGAGTAGTCAGTTTCTGTACTAACTATTTGCTGTTTCTATCGGTTGATTGCTTGCAGAATCAAATTTTCATATCAGGTCTTGCAGAAGACGAAATCATACAGAACCGGGTTTCGGAAGCCTTGTACAACCAGATTCTGCGAGCGCACAAAGAACAAAAATGTTTTCGAGTTATCATAGTCATACCACTCTTACCGGGCTTCCAGGTACAATTCTTTATATCAGATCAAAACTTCTAGTTCCGAACCTAAAATGCTGAGCAATTTCTTTCTCGGTGACCTTTTATCGATAGGGAGGCCTCAATGACTTCGGTCCTGCAACTGTTAGAGCCTTAGTTGACTGGCAGTATCGAACGATTTCCAGAGAGAAAACTTCGATATTGCATCATCTGAATACGAAACTTGGCTCTATAACATGGGATTACATTTCCTTTTATGGTCTGAGATCGTACGGTAGACTTTCCGAGACGGTCCTATAGCTACAAGTCGGGTATTCTTCATATGTTACATGTTTCACTTCATATGCCTTTTTGACATTGATTTGTAATGAAAGAGTTCCATTTAATTGATTGAACATATTCTCATCATTGATACAGGTTTACGTGCATAGCAAGTTGATGATTATAGATGATCGCCTTGCAGTTATCTGTTCGTCTAATATTAATGATAGGAGTTTGCTCGGATCAAGGGACTCCGAGGTACTTTCTGCATCACATAAGGTTTAGTTAGCACATCCTAAAGGTTTCTTTGTAATTGACAATTGATTGTTGTTGCAGATTGGGGTAGTCATCGAAGATAAGGAGTTTATCGAATCGTCTATGAACGACGAGCATTGGAAGGCTGGAAAGTTTGCTCATAGCCTGCGGTGCTCACTGTGGTCCGAGCACCTTGGCCTTCATCCAGGAGAGGTTAGTATACCTGCATTGTTCTTGATTACATGAGATTTTACATCGAATCTGCTTTTCCGGCTCCCATTTTTACGGAACTCGTTTGAGTCATGAATGAGCAATCAGAATTATGGTTCGAATACGATGTAGCTAATCCATTAAAGGCTTTGACTTCTATCAGATCAGTAAGATCAATGATCCTGTGTCGGAACAAACTTACCGAAAACTATGGCTAGAGTCCGCAGAGGTAAGATACCGGTGCCATGGCATGCATGCTTAGCCCATTCCATTTGCAGTTAACTAATGTTAACATTAAAATCTGACAGAGTAACAGCAAGATCTTCCAAGATGTCTTTGCTTGCATCCCGAATGATCTTATACACTCGAGGTACATTCCGACAGAGATACCATCTCTTTTTTATTTATGTTTTCGATATTTTTCTCTCATATGATCCATTTCAATTTTAAACACAGAGCTGCTCTGAGACAAGACATGACCTATTGGAAAGACAAACTCGGGCACACCACCATCGATTGAGGTGTTGCGCCTGAGAAACTAGAAACTACGGAGAACGGAGAGATTAAAACCGAAGATCCTATGGAACGACTGAAATCGGTTAAGGGACATCTTGTTGCATTTCCTTTGAAGTTCATGTCTGAAGAGATCTGAGACCGGTATTTAACGAGCGCGAGTTTTATGCATCTCCCCAAGTGTTTCATTGACCATACATAATTTGTACATGATTAGGTGAAAGAACTTGTAAATCTCCGTCGTTAATTCAGCCGATCGATTCTCTTCTTCCTTCTTCGACTTTGTGTTTCTTCTTCCGACTTCAAGGTCTTCTGATTATGGAATGAATCTTTTTGCCTTATCCTGTATTCATCAGATAAATCTTATCTTGCTTTTGTAATAAAATATGGAACTGCGCTTTGAACAAAGAAAATTAATGCAAATATGTGGCCATAAAATTTTAACAGCAATTAGCTTGTTCATTTACATAAGCTTGATGCTAAGATAATGGAGTTGAATGGAAGAAGAGGCAGATGGCCGAAATATCGTCCATTGCGATGCCCTTTCTCTTCTTTTTCCAAGCACGGGCCGCGTTCTCGACCAGACGCTTCGCCGCCTTTGCCTTGTCCGGTGTTGAAGACACTATCTGAACCGCTTCTTGATTGGAAACAACATCCCATACCTGCAGGAACGATTCGTCTAAAACCATTAGCATATTTTGAGCACTTCGTTTGCCTTTACTTTCAGATTCGAGTAGCAAGACTCGATCGTTTTTTTATCGCTTACACCATCAGTTGCAAGGACAACAAACTGGTCTCTGCTGGTTATATGTCTTTGAGTGACTTCGGGAACGGAGATGAGTCCGTAATCCTTAATGCAGTAATCTCCGAAAGCTCGAGACATAGCCAGTCCTGGTGACTCCTCATGAGGAAGCCAAACCCTGTGTACCCCTGGCTCATCATGCAAGCAAAACACCCGCCCATTGCATTGAATTATCCGCTCCGCCTCCTCTGCAAGCAAGATCAAACCAGAAGGCATAAGAAATTCATAATGTCTTCGGTCTCGTTTACAATGTACGAGAGTATGACCGAGCCTCACGAGGTAAACTTGGCTTGAAATCGACAGTGAGCTGAACGGGAACCAACGTTCCATCGTCTGATGTGGTAGCCAAAACAGCCCGAGAATCACCAACGTTGGCTACAAATATAAGATCACCCTGGCCAATATAAATTTTAAATTTATATGAGTATGTCATTGCCATTATAAGAAATAAAACCTTCAGTTACCTGTCTGACAATCGTCAAGGCAGTTGTTCCGCTATGGAAGGAATCGATCTTCCTATGGTGCTCGAGCTCTCGATCGACTAAAGCGCAAGTCTTCAGATAAGAATGCTTCCATATATGAAATCTCTGATGCTTTATATCGGATTCCAAATCGATATCCTCATCAAGCGATGCCCGAGCTATAGTCTCTTGCCAATTGCAGAGCAAGGAAGACGGCATCGATTCTCGGACCCTTTTCGCAACAAAATGACCCCATGGACCGTGACCATCAAATATTCCACAAAACAGCATGTCTGCTTGACATCCAAATTCCTATTCCAAATAAACAAAATCCACATTTATCAAACATAAACAAAAACAAAACATTTGCAGTCATGCTAATGTCTTACCTCCCATACAATGGAACAATCCTGGTTCACTCCTTTTCGGCCTCTCTTGGAGAAAACCGAGGCAAAATTGTCGGAACCATCGGTGTTTACAACACCAGAAGACCTCAAAATCAGGCCATTCTTCTTTGCATCCTTTGCCATAGCCTCAGCAGCTTCTCTTCCATCACCATTCCCTGGATTTTTCGCTCGCATTATCGAAAACGACCTCGCTAAGCCGTTGAACATGGAGGAAAAATGACTCATTGCCTCTAGAATTTCAATTCCCACTACCACAAAATAGTAGTTGTCTTCCTTTATGTAGGTCCAAAGATTGCCTATTGCAAACGAATAAATATATACACATAAATGACAATGGAACTGTGTAAAAGATGACCTTTGAATCATAAATGACATTACATAAAATATTCATTATGACATGGAATTCCAATAATCCCACATCAAAGTGTCTGTTTGGTTGCTGGGAAAGTTGAAATTGAAATTTTCTAGTATGTTGAAGGACTAGCAAGTGGGGAACCTGAAAAAGTAAAACATGAATTCTAGAATTGACTAGAGAGCTTCAAGTTAGTTAAAATTTTCCCTTTATAGGAAAGGCAAAAAGAAAACTAAAAGAAAATAAGTGTTGGATTTTCCTTAGCTAAATAATCTTTTTCTCCTGTTCACTTGGGAACCCTGTTGTTTGCTTTCCCAGAAAATCCCAGAAAACGCCAGATTTTCAATTGTTCTTGAATCAAAATTTGATCTTCAAGGGGAAAAATCCAATCTTTTTTTTAACAAAAACTAGATTTTCGTTCTTACTTACTTCTAAGAAAAATCCAAAACAAAAGCTTTAAATGAACACAATGACCAATCTTTCTAGTCATCCACTTTCTCAGAAATATAAACCAGGCCAGCCCCCCCCCCCCCCAAAAAAAAAAAAGACAAAAGAGATGATGTAATGAAAACCTCTAGGAGAAAACGGTTTGCCGGGAAACTGATTCAAGCAGCAGGAAAGTGCTGACGTGATCCTTAGAAGAAAAGCTGAGAACCCGAGGAGAAGAAGATGGACATGGATTATAATAAGAACAACGCATGGCCTTGTTATTCCTTGTTTGGCTATGGTTTTTTAAAGCTCTTACTTTTAGTTTATGGAGAAGAAAACAAAGAAAAAAATAAAGAAGCAATGTATTGTACACGTATTACCATGCAAATAACTATAAAACAAAATTTATTACAACGACACTTTATTTTCTCATGGGAATACTTTACACAAAGGAACAAGTTTTGTATTTTTTTTTATTAATATGAGATGAATATAAGTGAGTATCTATTTTGAGACTTTCAATTGTTCGACATTCAACGTTTTTATACTCTTAGTACTAGAACACGAAACCTTAAAGAATAATTATGATTATTTAATTGTTGAGGTCGTTTGATGGTATCATTATATTGTATTGAGTGGCATAGATGGTCCAAATCTATAATAATTAATAATTAAGATTGATTAAATAATTTATGTAACATCCTCCATGTCGGGTGAGTGATTAATTTGCAAAGTTTCAACATTTGATGATTAAAGTAGAATAATTATATAGTTTAAAAAGTAAGGTTAGTAAATATGAAATTAAGGTGAGGACCAAATGGTCATTTGTAAGGAAAATTTTAATTAAAATAAAATTTTATGGGGATATATGAGAACCACGTGGAGTATTGGTTCCAGAATACTCTCATTCCTTCTTTCTTATTTCTTCTCTTCCTTCTCCAAACGTGGGCTTGCAATTAAAGGTAAGAATCTGAACCTTGGTAGTTTCTTTGATTTTTAAGATTGGAAATGAAAGCTTAGATGTTATATAAGCTAAAGGAAAGCTTATATGACATTAAAACAACAAGATAAGTGATTTAGAGAAGGATTTGGAAAATGAGTTTTTAGATGAAATTTTGATATGGATGAGTTTTAATGTTTGAATCAGATTTTTGACTTGTCAAGAAGCTAACTAAGAAGTATGAGGTGTTAGAATTCAAATTAGAACATATTGGAATTTGGATTGGATTCTTACATTTTACATGGAGAATTAGATTTCTAAGTTTTAGAGGTATTTAATGGATAATAATTAGTTTAAGTAAGTGTATGAGAGATAAGAGTAGTAAAGGGATTGAAATATGTATGTTTGAGCTGAAATGGGATGATTTCCAAGCTCAAATTAGGATTTTCGGGCTAGGGGAATCGGTACCCATTCAAGGGGAACCGATACCCCTTCAACGAAATGAATTTCCAGAATGTTAGAGGGGAATCGGTACCCCCAGGGGGGGAACCGATACCCCCTCATCGTATATGAAATTCCAGATTGCTTGAGGGGAATCGATACCCCCAGGGGGGGGAACCGATTCCCCATGAGAAAAGAAGAAGAAAGAAAAGAAAGCAAGACTAAGCTATAAATTCTTTAAATTAGTAAGCTATTAAAGCTTAATTTCAAGACATAGACGTCTGATGATCATCTTAAAAATTATGTTTATGTAGATACCGAGCCTACTCGAGTTCGGGAACAATCTACAAGTAGGATCGATCGAGGAAAAGGCAAAGAAGTATAGGTAAGTGCATATGCATAGCATGAATATAGTATTATATTCAGTTCTAGACTTGTGATAAGTCTAGATTCCATATTTTGACATATGATCACATTCCATATTATGATACATGACATGAATTTATATTATGTGTATTGCATGACATGAATATGCAGAAAAGTTATATGAGCTATGTGATAAATGTATGTAAATGATATGTCTATGTGATAAAGGTATGGAAATAATATGACTACGCGATATGAACCACGGGAAATGTATAAGCCCATGTTATGTAGATGAGAACTATAGGTATAGTTGGCATGCCAAGGGTAGAGGGTATACTCGGTTCTTTAGGACATATGTATATCCTTTGGAACCTGTGTGAAGTCTTGAAAGACACATACTTGATCCATAGTATATGTATATGATTCTTAAGGAATTCTACGTGGTCCTTATGGACATAATTCTACGGGCACTTCGGTGCAATTCTACGGGCACTTCGGTGCAATTCTACGGGGCACTTCGGTGCATTTATACGAGCTGTGGTGACAGCATAGTGCACAACCTCACATTACTCAAATACCTTAGGTTCTCAATATGCTATCATGGGCCAATAAACTTAATTAATACAGAATAATGAATGTTACAGTCATACGCTTACAGGTATGGATATTGATGAAGTATACTATATTGATTAAGTACATGTTTGCATCTCATATCATATGATCCTGACATTTTGATTACATTATATTGCCTTATTATTATTGCCTCACTAAGTCGATGACTTAGCGTGTGAGTGTTTCACACGTAGGATCCGAGGAATTAGACGAGACAGGTGAAACAGCTTGACAGTATTACTCCTGCAACCATCAGATCAGAAGCAACTTAATCAGTAGGTCATTTTGTTATGTAAATGGCAGTTGGCATGTAATTAAAGGGTTAAGTTGTGTATGCTCTGAATATTTTGGTAAACTTATATTACAGTATGTATATTATTGTATTTTTCTTAATACAAGTACAAATATTTTACTATTATTTATTAAGAGTTGTGTTTTAAAGTCAATGTAGTATCTCTGACTCATATCCGGGTCGGGTATGGGTTGGGGGTGTTACAATTTATTATTCAATTTCTTCGATAAATATTCAATTAGAAAATCTATTTAAAATAAAATAAAATTTAAACTAATTTTTCTAAATTATTTTCAAAGATTTGTTATACCCTAAGGTCTAAGCCTTGTTCAATTAATTGGACTTAATTTTAATTAACAGCTTTAACTAGGCCTTAACTATTTAGAATAGGGAGTTTGTATACATAGGGACAATCTATTATAATTTTAACTATTTAGAGTTTACGAGTTCGAGCATCAACGACTCTAAAGGTGATTGAGCGTTTATTGTTAAATGACTGAGAATATTTAGAACAAATACTACTTTGTAATCACCTTTAGCTTAATAAAAAACTATTTATATGAAATTGAACTGATCAAGCGGACCCGATAGTTAGAAGGAGTATTGTTTTCCTTTGAGGAGTGTGTATTGTCAAAGATTAAGAAATATTCTTCATATATATTATCCTTATAACCACATGAGACTATTAAAAAAATAAATAAAATTGTTTATATAAAATAATTAAAACGAATCCATATTATCCTAATTAATATTTTTAGTACAAGAAATACATCAATCTAAACTCAACTTCACACTAATTATAGTTATTTTTCGATATAATATTATCCTAATTAATATCTCCATTAAATAATTTTTATTTGTTATTTAACTTATAACTTGCAGTAAACACATACTTTAAAAAAATGGATTATAATATTATAAATGGAACAAATTAGGTTGAAAATGTTATTTTTACAATAAATATTTATAATATTCGATTCGAATAACAAATATTATTGATTATACCATTTTTTATTTATTAACTAATGAAAAATAAAACAATGCTCAAATGCTACACAATCTTATATTTTATTTTTATTCATAAATAATGTAGGTTGTCAAATCCAAATGATTAACAACATATATATAATTATTTATGTATAATTGACATAGAATAAAATAAAACTTTTATTTTAAAAAACAATATTTCATGAAGAAACATATAACAATAGTTGACATTTATATAATGTTTAATATAAAAATTAATGTTTAAACTATATTGTTTTTTTAAGTGGTGCTTAAATTTTTCGGTCAATTTAGGTATATATTATTACAAGTATGATCATTTTAAGTGTCTTGACCGTAACAATTGTTAAAAAACTCTGTTAAGTGATATGTGTCACGTTATAATAGTTTTGAAAATTTTATTTAAAAAATTTTAAAATATTATCAAATTAAAAAAACATAATTTCTTTAAAATTACAAAAAAAACTGAAATTCTTAAAATCAACCGCAAATTCCTAGTTCTAACTTACAATCTCTCACGTAAGCCACGGTCGTCGCCGTCGGTGATATTCTTCCCATCTCCCTTGTCAGCTATCGTCATCCTTATCGTCGAGATGGTCGTCGAGGTTGCGTGGTATCACGATTTTATAGCTTTGTTCTTTGTCGACTATTCGTAATTTTAGGTTTGTCGCCTCCCATTGGCTTATGTTATAGTGGCTATTCGTTATAGTGGCTATTCGTCAGGAAAATGATTGTTGGGTGGAGGCACGACCAGATGGAGGTTTGGTCGAACGGCCGCAAGGGTGACTCGGTTTGAGTATAGAGATTAGATTTATAGTTTTCAAAGTTTGGGGAATTTTTTAAGATTTTAAAAAAAAATTGAGTTTTTCTAAAAAAATATAATTGAGAAAATAACTTCAGTGACCGAAAATATCTTATAATATACGATTTTAATCAATTTTTTTTGGATTTGCGAAAATAACCAACAAAATCGCAACGCGAACTCCTATTTCGCAACAAAGTTTCCAAATTCGCAATGCGAAATTTTGTTTTCGCAACGCTAATTACCGATATAGGTAAACACAACTATCGCAAAGCGAATTTCGTTTTCGCAACGATAATTACCGACATATGTAAACACACTATCGCAATGCGAATTTCATTTTCGCTACTCGAATTTCGGAAATCGAATTCACCAATTTTGCAACTTAATTACAGATATAGGTAAACACGGTAGAAAAAATCCGGTAAAAAAATCTGAATTCGACAATTTAAAAACTGAGTTGCGAATTTGGCAAATTCGTGCTGCGAAATGTCAAATCTCGCTTCTTAAAGAAAAAATTAAAGGACATAAAATGCACTAGAGTGGTTTTCAACCTGTGACATCTTAGTTGCTAAGTCCACGTATGAATCACTCAGTTAAACTTATGTCTGTAAATGAATTGAACAAACACGAACGAGCGTATGTTCATGTTCGTTCGTTTAACTTTAACCAAACAAACGAACTGTCGAAATGATTTTTTCTTTAAGAGGAGAGCTTTTATATTTCGCAACACAAATTTGTCAAATTCGTAACTCAGTTTTCAAATTGGCGAATTCAGATTTTTGACTAGATTTTTTCTACAGTGTTTACCTATATCGGTAATTAAGTTGCGAAATTGGCAAATTCGATTTGCGAAATTCGTGT